CGATCCTAATCCTTGTCACGTACAACAAGAGAATCGAAACCCCGCCAGTTGACTCAATAACAGACCGTATGATACAGCATGGCGTGCACGTGCTAACCATTCGGCCATCAACCCCCCAAGAATGGTTATGATGATGATCCTGAAATGGGGTTTTACGTCCTACTTTTCTGTACCGACTGGGCCAATGAAGACGGGCATACTCCATAAAGTGTGCTATGAGGGAAATTTTGCTCAGGTAGGGGCGGTACTCTTATTTCGAATTCCACCTGTCAAGGATTCTTTTACGTCCACGTCAATGTGTACTCGGGACCCAGATTTTTCTTCCTATCCGAACGACTACACGCTGACCCCGTCCTGCAACACTTACAAGGGTACATGCTGGTAAATCCGGGGGAACTTTCGTGGCCAACACCGGGGTCAAGCACCGGTCCTCCTAGTAAGCGATCAAGCACCTTACTCACTGAGCCACCGCGGCTCACAGGTTATGCCAAAAGTAAGCTTATATAGATGCAGGTAAGAGAGAGAGAGAGAGAGAGAGAGAGAAATGGGGTTTAACGTCCACTCGACACAAACTAGGTCATTTCGGGACTCTATGGTCTAACTTTATTTCAATAATTCGCTTGCGCGTAGGGGTCTTTAGCAGTGGGAGGAAACCGGAGGACCCGGAGAAAAACCACGAGGTTGGACAGGCGACCCTACTCCTTGCCACGTACAACCGGGGATTCGAAACCACGCCAGTTGACTCAATGACAGACTTTATGATACAGCGCACGCACGCTAACCATTCAGCCATCCAACCCACCCCCCACCTCTAATGCAGGTAAGATTATGATGTTTCGCAATTCATACCTTATTTTCTTTATGTTTTCTCCGGGTCCTCCAATTTCCTCCCACTGCGAATTATTGAAATAAAATTGAACCATGTTAGTCCCGAAATGACCTTTTATGTCGAGTAGACTTTAAATCCCATCTTTAAATCCCAGGCTCGCTAGCCTGGAGGTCGGGTGTTCGATCCCTGCATTGGCCGAGAAAGTTCAGGACGGAGGGCCTGACAAGGACAGCTGTCTAGTCCTTTGGATGAGATGAAAAACTGAGGTCCTATGTATCCATTGGAATGCACGTAAAAGATCCCTTGGCAGTTGGAATTCAATATAAGAGTCCTACTGTTCTGCTCCTAACCTGGGCTAATGAAGACAGACATACGCCATACAGTGTGCTATGAGGGAAATTTCGCCCGGGCAGCGGTGCTACGGCCTACTCTTATATCGAATTCCAAATGCCAAGGGATCTTTTACGTGAACGCCAATGTGTACACGGGACCTCGGTTTTTTGTACCATCCGAACGACTAGACAGCTGTCTTTGTCAGGCCCTCCATCCTGCACCACTGACAAGGAAAAACAACGCCGGAAAATCTGGATGAACTTTCTCGGCCAATACAGGGATCACCACCCGATTTCCAGGGTCGCGAGCCAGCGTCTTACCTACTTAGCCACATGATCCCCTCATGAAGATTAAAGTAATGATGCGTGATTTGTGTTTTTCGCTAAAATATCAAATTCCTCACGGCTTCATCCACGTTAATATGTTCTGTTTTGGTTCACAGAAATAAAGATGGCGACCATCTTACACAGGAAGCAGCATTGATCTGATCAATGGAATTTTCATTTCGTCATATCTTTGTAAATACTGAACGGAATTGAGTCATGTTATTGTCATATATAGCTCCTATTACTTACTCAATATTCTACTTTACCTCGGGATTGGGTGAACTTCACGATAGATTTTCGTTTTGAAGGACTCTTAATAAATAAAACCAATCCTGGGCTCTTATTCACGAAAACTTAAACTAAGAAAACAATCGAAATTTTAAGAAATACTGCAATTCAATTGGCTGACCAATATGCAAATTGGATATATGCAAATTGATTTTACTGGTCAGCCAATCGAATTGCAGTATTTCTTAAAATTTCGATTGTATCGTGAATAAGGGCCCAGGACAATCCTAGAATAAACAGGGGGATCACGTGGTTTCCCCTTGTCAGTGATGCAGGACGGAGGGCCTGACAAGGACAGCTGTCTAGTCGTTCGGATGGGACAAAAAACTGAGGTCCCATGTATATATTGGAATGCACGTAAATATCCCATGGCAGTTGGAATTCGATATAAGAGTAGGCGATAGTGCCGCTGCCCGGGCAAAATTTCCCTCATAGCACACCGTACACATTGGCGTGCACGTAAAAGATCTCTTGGCAGTTGGAATTCGATATAAGAGTAGGCGGTAGTGCCGCTGCCCGGGCAAAATTTCCCTCATAGCACACTGTATGGCGTATGCCCGTCTTCATAAGCCCAGTTTAGGAGCAGAACAGTAGGATGTTAAACCCCATTTCATTTCATTTCTAGAATAAACAACACAACATTATTGTATGATGTCATCAAGAGGAGACATATAAGAAGTAAACGAATGGGTCCAAGAACATTATGGCACACCATATTCAAGTGATATAGAATCTAATTGAGAGAAATCTATTATCACACATTGATGACGACCATTCATATAAAATATTATTTGATTTAGTAGGCTACATTCCAAGGCACTGCAAGATCCTTTCCAAATGATCTTGCAGCACTGAATTGTCAATCGTCTCAAATAAAATTGAACCATATGTTAGTCCTGAAATGGCCTAGTTGGTGTATAGGGATAGCTTGAGAGAGATGGGGTTTAACGTCCACTCGACACAAGCTAGGTCATTTTGGGATAATAAAATAAAACCAAGTACGAACAATCCAAACCATAAGACAGAATTGGAAGTCCTAAAAAATGTTATAGGCAAAATAGTGTATTCAAGCAAAATAGTGTAATCAGCAAATGGACTGCTCCTCGTGTACAGAATACACGACAAACAGTGGTAACAGGTGTCCGGAAGAGTAAGCTACCCTGCCTGGCACCACACCCGCCATAGCTGCATCCAAACTATTAGGCGAAATGGGACTAACATGTGGTTTCAATTTTATTTCAATAAAACGCTTGCGCGTAGGGGTCCTTAGCAGTGGGAGGAAACCGGAGGATCCAGCGAAAACCCAGGAGGTTGGAGAGGTGACCCTACTCCTTGTCACGTACAACCGGGGATTCGAAACCACGCCAGTTGACTCAATGACAGGGCTTATGATACAGCGCGCACGTGCTAACCAATCGGCCATTCACCCCCCACCCCGCCCAAATTTGAGATGGATCTGTTTAAAAATGTAGCTCCTCGTGTTAACAGCAAAAGGTTGGGGGATAATTTTCATTAAAGATAGCAAAGCAAAGCATGGAAATACACCCACACAGCTGCTATATCTTGACAGAAGCTTTTCTGAAAGGGAGTTGACCAAGTCAAATGTGATATTTCTGCAAATGGGGGATAACTCTGGATGGGAAAATCTCAGAATGCTGAATACTAATATATACTATTCAAAAAAAGTAGGGGATATTTGATTTTTAAGTGTTATTAAAGTCACCTAATGAAACTGACGAAGAAACAAATGACAAAATGAAATGAAGTTCACATTCATCGATTTATTCCAAATGATCGTTAGACTAAGTAAGGCACAGACTGACCATTATAAGGGTAAAATGATACCCGGGGTCAAACAGCAAAGTTACCACAGCATCACAACCAAGGCAGTAACGGGTAAATCCTCCTCTGTTTGCCAAACAAGCATTGATCCGACGTGGCATACTCCTAATGAGACGTCTAAGGTCATTTTGGTCCAGATTGTCCCATTCCTGTTGCAACGCAGCAGCAAGTTCTTGGACATTGGCAGGACGTTGTTGACGTTGACGTAACCTCTGTCCAAGCATGTCCCAGACATGCTCGATGGGGGAGAGGTCGGGACTCAGTGCTGGCCAAGGTAATGTGGTGATGTTCTGTTGTTGGAGGTAACTTGTAACGATCCTGGCCCTGTGACATCTTGCGTTGTCATCCTGGAAGATGAAACGGCGGCCATGACGTCGTGCGAACGGCACAACATGGACTGCCAAGATGTTGTCCCGGTAGTACTGGCCTGTAACACGCCCTGCAACAACATGTAAAGTCGTTCTTCCAGCAACAGTGATGCCTCCCCACACCATAACAGAACCACCCCCAAATCGATCATGTCTGATGACGTTAACGTCTTGGAAGCGTTCGTTTCGACGACGCCACACCCTCCTAAGTCTGTCCAAAAAATCAACAGTGAACCTTGACTCATCTGAAAACATCACATTGCTCCAGCGTCGATTATCCCAGTGTTGACGATCCCTACACCAACGACGTCTTGCCTGAATGTGATGATCTCTCAAACAAGGGATCACGCGAGGACGTCGGGCGCGAAGGTGACCCCTATGCAGTCGATTCCGAATCGTCTGGCCACTCACTCTCACACCAGTGTCTGTTTGAAGACGAGCGCTGATCTGATTTGCTGTGATGACACGATTTCTCAAGGCCAAGGTACGGATAAATCGATCCTGGGCTTGAGTTGTCGCCCTTGGTCGACCTGAGCGTGGTCTGTCCTGTACAGATTGTGTATCACGGTATCTATTTGAAAGGAATCGGTTAAAAAAAAATATGGTTTTCACAAGTTTTTCGGCAAAGGGGAATACCGATAGGGTTCGTCCCCTCATGACCACTATGCTTCACACCCAATTTGAGAATAACCGGTAAAAACAGCATGCGCACTAATTTTGTGGCTATCTTGTAGATCAGGTTGATGGAAATTAATGGTTATTTCTGATGTCCAGGGTCATTAAGTGCATGACGGTTAGCTTTTGTAGCGGCGTTTTTTTGTTTGCGAAAATATTGAAAGAAAATAATTCATCTTATAAAAAATGATAGATAGTGGTTATTTCCATATAAACTATTTATTATTGGCATATAAATATTTATATGAATTATTCTACAAAATTTTCCAGCATTAATAACCATAAGCTGACGAGTAAATATTCGCTGCGCAATAGAACGTCGCAAGTGCGGGGCTATTATTGAAAACAATTATGGCGGAAAGTCGAATGAATTTGGCTGCATTACAGCAGAGAGACCCATTTATTACCGATATTATTGACACGGCATCACAAGTGGCATTATATTCTTTTAGTTCCAAAACCAACAAATGGGTAAGTGGATTGTCAATGTGTGACTAGCTTTGTACATTGTTATACGCAGCCTCTAACATACGGTAAAGTCAGTGTAGGCCTATCATCTGATATTTTCAAGAACGAAGAAACTCGTTCATCATCATCATGCAGCATCCGCTACCCTGTTTTAATCGGTACTTAGGCTATGTATGTGTTGTTGGCGTTGTCTGGATAGGAGAATATATGATGATCTTTCCCTTTTTCATCACACTTGAACACAACCCACTCATTTACATGTCTGCCAACGGCCCAACACTGATACTGATTGCCGTAGTTCGTCTTTTATTTCTTATTACAGCCAATGTTATGTTGCATGTTTTCTGATGTTACCTGGGGTGCAGGCTGTTTCGTAACCTGGATGTTTCGTACTTAGTTCATTCGTACCTCACTTCGTACCTCAAATTGATTCGTACCTTTTCCTATGTTGTTGAAATCAGTTGAAAGAAATTGAATATGCCGAACTAGAATTAGAATATGCACGAGATTTGGACCTCAAATTGAATAGTTCCCTTTCCTAAATCCAAAGGCTAAATTTATAAAAATGGCAGCCAAACGAGAATTAGAATACACACGTGATTTGTACCTCAAATTGATTCGTATCTTTTCCTACATGTTGTTGAAATGAATTGAAAGGAATTAAAATAAATCTATATGTTGTTGAAAGAAATTGAAATAATAAACGATTACCTGCCTTTCTTTTGAATCTGGTGTTGATTATCGAACCCATTCAATGCCATTCAGCTCAGTGAGTTGTGATTATTGACGACAATTGAGCAGTTTAAAAAACGATTGAAAAAGTATTTAATCTAGGGTTGATTATTGAACCCATTCTGCTGAGTGAGTTGGGATTTGTGATTATTGACGACAACTGATTGGTGGTTGTTAAAGCGGTTAAAAACTATTGAATATATATACATGTACTAAGAATTCCAAAATCAATTTAACTCATTATAAGGTGAAACTGCATGCTTTCTGATATGGTTGAGTTATTTCAATTTGAGCCTAGAAATAGAATGCAGCAATTAAGTCTCCAAAAGGTGCCTACGTGTTAAGATGGGCGTATGTGTTTCTTTGATCTGTTATACCATGGACCATATACGGTCATATCACAGGGTAATTCTGTTATTGAAACCCAACTGCATGAAAATGGCTTTCGATCGTAACCGATGTAAATTTAGAGAAATGCTGAAGCAATTTTAGTATAAATGTATCCTTTGTGTGCGAATTACTACTATTATATTGGGCAGGCTGTGTAATACAAATTTAGCGTAGCCGTTGGATTTGATCAAATCGTTTCACCTTTATTTCAATTTCTTTTAACTGATTTCAACAACATAGGAAAAGGTACGAATCAATTTGAGGTACTAAGTGAAGTACGAAACGGCTCATGTGAGGTACGAATGAACTAAGTACAAAACAGCCAGGTTACATACGGATGTCAGCTGTTTCATAACCTGGCTGTTTCGTACTTAGTTCATTCGTACCTCACATGAGCCGTTTCGTACTTCACTTAGTACCTCAAATTGATTCGTACCTTTTCCTATGTTGTTAAAATCAGTTAAAAGAAATTGAAATAAAGGTGAAACGATTTGATCAAATCCAACGGCTACGCTGAATTTATAAAAGTGGCTGCCGAGCCATAATTAGAATATGCACGAGATTAGTTTGATTTCCTAAATGTGTTTGAAAGAAATTGAAATAAAGGTGAAACATAATGAAACGATTTGATCAAATCCAACGGCTGCGCTAAATTTTTAAAAATAATGGCCGAACGAGCATTAGCTATGATGATTTAATAACAAAAAGCAAATTTTATGCATTGATAATTACATGAATATGAAACATTTAAACCATATACCACAGCCTGTTAAAATATTGAAAAGAACACTTTTTTTTTTTATAAAAATGGCTGCCGAACGAGAATTAGCTTCGATGATTTAATAACAAAAAAGCAAACTATATGCATTGAAAAAAAATATAGAAATTTCCATATTTATATTACACAGCCTGTCCAATAGAAGTAATTCACACACAAAGGATATATTTAAACTAAAATTGCTTCAGCATTTCACTAAATTTACATGGGTTATGATCGAAAGGCATTTTCATGTAGTTGGGTTTCAATAACAGAATTACCCTGTGATATAACCGTATATACGGTCAGTGATATAACAGATCAAAGAAACGCATACACGCCCATCTTCACATGTAGGCACCTGTTGGAGACTTGCTGTGTTCTATTTTTAGGCTCAAATAACCCAATCATATCAGAAAGCATGCAGTTCCACCTTACAGTGAGTTAAATTGATTTAAGGTTTATTATGTAATGAATAATACATTGCGTGTTACATGTACATTTTGGAATTCTTAGTATATATTCAATCATTTTTAACCGCTTTAACAATCACCAATCAATTATCGTCAATAATCACAATCACAACTCACTCAGCAGAATGTGTTCAATAATCAACACCAGGTTAAATACTTTTTCAATTGTTTTTTTAAACTGCTTTAACAATCATCAATCAATTATCGTCAATAATCACAACTCACTCAGCAGAATGGGTTCGATAATCAACACCAGATTAAAAAAAAAAGGCAGTTAATCGTTTATTATTTCAATTTATTTCAACAACATATAGATTTATTTTAATTTCTTTCAATTTATTTCAACAACATACATGTATAGGTAAAGGTACGAATCAATTTGTCAAGGGATCTTTTACATGCATTCCAATGTATACACTGGATCTCAATTTTTTGTCCTTGAAAGACCCTCCGTCCTGCACCACTGACAAGGGGAAACCATGTCGGAAAATCCGGATGAACTTTCTCGGCCATTGCAGGGATCGAACACCTGACCTCCAGGCTAGCGAGCCAGCGTCTTAACCACCCAGCCACCGTGGCTTCCAAAAGGAATATGAACAGTCCTACTGCACCGTGTTGAAGAATAATCCCAGTTAAGTTACATGTATCACATCGGGTTAGACTATTACCCAATATCCATGACAAAACACAACAAGGTATATGGAATTCACTGTTATTTAATAACAACGTTTCGTAACACATACAGGTCATGTTTTCAAGTTAATGTTAAATATTCATCTAGTCAGCCTATTTATACATATTACCCCATATACATGTACCACCACATACAGTAGCATGACATTTTGGTCCCTCGACCTTTCAGACTCAACAAAATCTTTCCTTTCGGACTACATACAAATGTACATGCATATCATTGTACTACCCCTTAATGACGTAAAAAGGGCATATTACTTGGATTATTAAATTGCATATGAAGCACATTTTTACATCATTATGAGGTAAATAATAATTTAAATAGCATCTTTAACTATGATTATTAACAACTATCTGCTTGAAATTGTACAATGGATTTTATTTAGCCTGAAGTCCGAAGGTGATTTCAAACATATACACATAGCTAAGTTTTTAATAATCATGATTAAACATTATGGACACTAGCACTTCAATCTAAACGATCAGTACAACCCCGGTAAGCGAGCTAGCGACCCCGGTAACAAATTTGGCACCCCGCCAATTTGTCAAGCCTCTGTACAACCCCGGTAAGCGAGCTACCGACCCCGGTAACAAATTCGAAAAACCCCGCCAAGGGGCCAACCCCGGTAACCCCGCCAATTAGTAACCATAGAAACCCCACCAGGGTTTCGGAATAGTATAAATAAAAACGCCTAACACGTAAGTCCAATCAGTCTGATTCTGAAGAGTTCAATACAAACGAAACTAGTCACTGACATTCGGGATAACCAGGTCTTCATAGCCACCTTTTCTCTTATATTATCATGATTAAACATACACTATGCAAGAGCTAAATCTGCCTATTGCAGGTCTTTCTTTAGGCCTGAAATGTTATCTAAATTATTAATTAGACATTAATTAAAGCTACGTTCCCAGAAAGTATTTATCGGGTGGTTATTTTCAAAAAAAGTATGGCAATTTTGGTATATACATGTATGGAAAGTATAAATATCCAATTTTACTAGAAAAATACTGGATTCCCTGAAAAACACTCATGGAGCACATACAGGACAAATATGTAAGGGTTTCCCCAATCAACAGCCCGACCATTAGGAGTATCTGCACACGTGACCGAAGGTTGCACGCGAAGATTGAGCGCTTGATGTACGTTTTGATAAACTTTATGAAGAATTAGACGTACAACACTTTCTGAGATAAAAATCGCAGAAAAAGCCGCGGGCAGTTGATAATCCGAAAATTTAATTAGGCTTCGATATTTGTAATAAATAGTCGGCGATTAAACACAACATCGTCTTGTGTATGCAGTAAATTCTCCTCCAACTTCGCTTGCGTTGCTAGATACTGAGAGAGGTAAGTCACGTGACACAAACATCACCTCTTTTGATCGATTTTTTATAGACAGGGTATTCCCTGACAATTGCAATGTTTTGAGAAGGATTTGAAGCAAAATTATGATAAATTAATTAGTTTGAATATGTTTTTAGTCCAAATACATGTATATCATCAAATCACCCAGTTTGTACCCGGGAATGTATCTTTAACTTATCCAGACCATAATCAACTCTCAATGGCATCGGATTTCTCTGATATTAAATAGATTAGACAATTCAGCCATATTTTGATTTAAGCTAAAAAAAATCAGTTACATGCATGTTCGATGAAATAAGCGAAAAGTCTCTTTCGAATGGCATTTTCTAGCGTCTGGTTATTCCAGTCTACACCAGTAGTATTTATTGCGCATGCTCTCCAGATATGAATTTTGCTTCATCATTTGACATGACTTGTGGAATATGTGTAGCCCCGTTCCTCGAGTCCCTTGTTACAAATGGCGTTGAAACGCATCGTGTACCAATGGTAAAATGTGTATTTTGTCTTAGATATTGGATATCAGAAGCCCATCTTTCTGGTAAGATCACAACATCATTGCTGATTTTCAATGTCGAAGACTGTGGATGATATTGAATTAGAGACTTGGCTACTTTAAATAACTGATGCAGATTTAGGTTTGAAATAAATGTACTATGTGGTGTAAGGGGAGACAATCGAGGTCAATGGAAGAGTTATTTCCCTTTAATAACTAGACCATTTATTATTCATTGTACAGTACATGTAGATATGTGATTCATTCAAAAATCTAGACAATCTAAGTATTTTTTGTAAATAAAGGGTTAAAACTTGTAGCTTTGATCTGTAATTAAATGAATTTAATTCTTTCTTTAAAGATACAATCCCACAAAAGTAATTATCGGCCAGTTATTTCCAATAAAATTATGGCAAGTTTGGTACATGTACCTACATGTATACGTATGAAATAGAGACACCCAATCTTACTAGAAAAATACTGGATACCTTGAAAAACACCCATGGGGCACACATTTGACAGAAGTATAAGGATATTCCTTGAGCAAGGACTGTACAATATAAAAACATTTAAAATTCCATAAAATTTCGTGATTTCTCATAAAATGGAAAAAGATCATAAAAAAATATATTTTTCACAAAATGAGGCGAACATTTTTTCAAAATCTATAATTAACAATTAAATTTCTACTCCCAATAATAAATTTCTATACTAATAAATCCGGATGTGAATAAGAAATTCATCCAGACATTTTATGACCCCGGCTTGCTGCTCTTTCATTTTTTATCTGATACACAGGGGCGGGCGCCCAAACATACATGTACTATCTAGGATTAACACAGTACTTATACAATTTAAGTTCAACAAGTTACGTAGCAAAGTTTTAAATTATAACCCTGTGTAGCCAATCTAGTGGTCATATTATGAGTAGAAACTTTCAGTATTTTCTGTCAAAAACATTGTAATTACACCAAGCCTAGAAATAGGGCACTTGTCTGAAGAAGTTTTTCCAGTGACTTCGCCAAAGGGGTAGAACATTGGGACCCGCTACCATCTCTGACGGAATTTAATCGAGGCTATTGATTTCGGCATCGAGCTTATTGACAGCTTTTGCAGCTAAAATGAAATGAAATGGGGTTTAACGTTCTACTCTTATGCTCCGAACAGGGCTGATGAAGACGGGCATACGCTGTGTTGAAACAGTTTTTAAAGAACTGGACCTCATTTTTACGTCCCATCTGAATGACTACACATTGTCCCTTGACAGGCCCTCGATCCTACAAGAGGGAACAATGTCGCAAAATCCTGATGAACTTTCTCGGCCAACGCAGGAATCGAAGGCGGGACCTCCAGATAAGCGAGCCAACGTCCCGAGCAGTGGTATAATGTATGGAGTAACAATGTAGATGTACATGTATTGTTTGTATGCCCAGGTGTTACTACATGAAGTTTTTGACACAATGCCAATACTAACATCATGTCAGCCAGTACTATCTGCAACTTATCACTAATTTATCTCCCTTTATAAAAAAACTCTAAAATACAATTATAGGAGTCAATAAATTTGTCTATAATAACACCCATCATTAAAATCCACTTTAATGATATTTTTGATAAGGGGGGTCAGATGGCCGAATGGTTAGCTTGTGAGCGTTGTATTATAAGGTCTGTCATTAAGGGGAGGATGGATGGCCGAATGGTTAGCACACGCGCGCTGTATGATACGGTCTGTCCCTCGTAGCACACAGTATGGCGTATGCCCGTCTTCATTAGCCCAGTTTAGGAACAGAACAGTAGGACGTTAAACCCCATTTTATTTCATTTCATTTTTGTGTTAGTGGATTTAATTTGTCCCCCGCCTTTCGAAGAAAGCAGGGGACTATTAAAATGGGTTCGTCCGTCTGGATGGCCGAATGGTTAGCACACGCGCGCTGTATGATACGGTCTGTCCCTCGTAGCACACAGTATGGCGTATGCCCGTCTTCATTAGCCCAGTTTAGGAACAGAACAGTAGGACGTTAAACCCCATTTTATTTCATTTCATTTTTGTGTTAGTGGATTTAATTTGTCCCCCGCCTTTCGAAGAAAGCAGGGGACTATTAAAATGGGTTCGTCCGTCTGTCTGTCCGTCTGTCTGTCCGTCACACTTTTTGGGACACAATAACTCTCTTCCTAATTGAGCTAGAATGTTCAAACTTGGTGTATGTGTTTATTAGGTCAATGCCTTGATGGAGTTCGAAGATGAGCATTTTCCGCTTAGGGTAAGCAGAGATAAGCAATTTGATTGGTTGATGCTTTGGGACACGATAACTCTCTTCCTAATTGGGCTAGAATGTTCAAACTTGGTGTATGTGTTGATTAGGTCAATGCCTTGATGGAGTTCGAAGATGAGCATTTTCCGCTTAGGGTAAGCAGAGATAAGCAATTTGATTGGTTGATGCTTTGGGACACGATAACTTTTAATTGAGCTAGAATGTTCAAACTTGGTGTATGTGTTTATTAGGTCAATGCCTTGTTTATTTTGATTCTATCTGATAGAGAGTGATGAAACTTAATGTATACTTAATAATCAGTTTGATTGCTGGATACTTTTGAAAAAGATAAACATGCAATTAATTAATATATGTCATCTATTTATTTCGGGATTTCAGCGGGGGACATCAGCCTCACTGTTGGCTTGTTTTATCCGTTTCTGGTAATAACTTTTTCTTGGGATAAAAAAAACCTGACAACCCATGTACACATTTATTTGCCGACATTAGAAATATGCTTAAAAGTATTTAAAATTATTTTTTCTATGTTTCAGGAGAAGATATCAATAGAAGGAACACTTTTTATCTACAAACGGTGAGTTTGAGTTCAATAATTACAGTTTTAAATTAAGATTACGAATTACTTGAATCATAACTACTGGGCTGATTCTCACTATTGTAGGACTGTTACGGATTGTAGCTGACAGGTTGATTGACAAGTAATAATTAACTCTTTGTAATTGAGGGGGGTTGGATGGCTAAATGGTTAGCGTGCGCGCGCTGTATCATAAAGTCTGTCATTGAGTCGACTGGCGTGGTTTCGAATCCACGGTTGTACGTGACATGGAGTAGGGTCGCCTGTCCAACCTCTTGGGTTTTCTCCGGGTCCTCTGGTTTCCTCCCACTGCTAAAGACCCCTACGCCCAAGCAAATTATTAAAATAAAATTGAAACCATATGCTAGTCCCGAAATGACCTAGTTTGTGTCGAGTGGACGTTAAACCCCATTTCTCTCTCTCTCTCTCTCTCTCTCTCTCTTTGTAATTGAGCAGAAATTGATTTATGATACCATAGTGGCTGGTTCATTGTCTTATCAATCAGCCTTTTCAAACATCAAGCAGTTGTGAATTTTATGTTTTCTTGAGCCATGTGCACTGTAATTACAATGTACACAATGGCAATAAGTTTAACCCATGTATTATTAGTTACAATGTACCCAATGGTAATTATATTACCCACATGTATATATAATCGGTTACAATGTACCCAATGGTAATAACATTTAACAATAACCGTACATTATTAGTTATAATGTACCCAATGATATTAACATTACCCATACATTACCCAATGTTATTGACATTACCCATACATTATCAAATACAATACACCCAATGTAATTACATGTATTATTACCTATGCATTATCAAATACTATATACCCAATGGTAATTACATTATCCATACATTATCAATTACAATGTACCCAATGTTATTGACATTACCCATATATTATCAATTACAAAATACCCACTTCGTCCAGGGCCTTTAATATTCATGGAGTTATACTGGTTAATTTGATACTACATACATATATGTGACAGTGGAGAGCAGTGGCGACGAAGTGTGATTCGCCTGGGCCCCAGACCCAATTTTCAAATTCGATGGCCTGAAACATTCACAGGGTAATGCTGGTTAATTTGATACCACATATCACTAGTTTGACATCGGTTGTCTAGTTTATGAAACTAAATGGTCATAAACTGGATGACCAATATCAAAACTAAACTAAATGGTCATAAACTAGATGACCGATGTCAAAACTAAATGGTGTTTCTTAAACTAAACGGTAGCACAAACTGGGCGTTATTTGATGAATCTTGATGGTATTTAACACTTTCTGCATGGCAATCTATTAACTCAATATGTGTATTAGATTATAGATGGTAAGCTCAGTTCCTTTCCTTTTTTCATCAAATCTGAATGATACCCGGTCCCTATTGGAACATACCCACATACATACATACATCTTCAATTTTATTTGTATCGAAACTGTCTTGAGAAAATCATGTTGGCAAAGATTCCTAATCATGTTGTTGTAACAAAGCCTTTATTTCTGTTAGAATAGATTGGGAATGAAATTGTATTTTATTTACGCATGTTGAAGAGATTTGAACCTTGTTATCATCTTGTAAATGTAGATATAACTGTTTAACTAGCTTGTAACATGTGTGGTGTTTGATGTATAAACTCTTTAACTAAGATTAACTTCATTTCGTTACTGATACATGTATTACAACATCTTACAATATAGTCAGCGCCTTCTCATTTACGTAACACAGTCGAGAAAACATTTTCACATACTCTATGCCGAGTTTACATCAATATTTTTCAAACCCATGCTGGACTATCTTTATTTCCCTTAAAGTACACAGCTATTTGGGGGTCATGGTGGCTAAGTGGGTAAGACGCTAGTCTGGAGGTTGGGTGTTCGATCCCTGCATTGGCCGAGAAAGTTCATCCAGATTTTCTGGCGTGGTGAAGGAGTGAGAGCATGACAAGGACAGCTGTCTAGTCGTTCGGATGGGATGAAAAACCCAGGTCCCATGTACACCTTGGTGTGCACGTAAAAGATCCCTTAACAGTTGGAATTCAATATAAGAGTAGGCCATAGTGCTGCTGTCTGGGCAAAATTTCCCTCATAGCACACTGTATGGCGTATGCCCATCTTCATTAGCCCAATTCGGAGCTACTGTGATAAAAAAAATCATTATTAAGTAATATTGAATTAATTAGCATTTTATTTTATCTAAAGTTTTCTTAACTTAAGCACATGTTCTTCATTAACGGTCTTTCTTGTCGATCTTACCTGTGTACAGGTGTTGAATAAAATCATTAACGATCTTTCTACAGAGAAATCCGTTCTTGTTTACAGGTGTTAAATAAAATAATAATGTATCGGATATACAAGAATAAATATTAAAACAATATGGAATGGTGGAAGATTTAAAAAAAAAAAAAAATTATTGTGGGTTTTTTTTGTATTTGCCACAGGTTAAAATCATTTCTGTTAGATATGAGTATTTTTTTTATCTGATCGACAAGAACAGATAAACTTATATACTGCAGGTGTTTTAGAATATGTTGGAAGTATTCAATGAACTAAGTACATGTAACAGTTAATTTCAACACACACAGTTTTGTGGATATTACGAGAGAACGTTTTATTTATGAGAATATTTGACTGTGCAATGGGAGCCAGCACCAGGCCATGAGTTCACAAAGCAATCTCAACTGAAGTTAATTTAGTCAAAATTGTTTGTCTTATTTTAACTTTTGTTGTTTTAATATATCAAATACATCAATAAGAAACTACGTGCAAAGTTTTGTGTTTTTGGATCAAAGATATTTCTCATTATAAACAGTGATTGAAAGTTGAGTAAATTCTTAACTTAAAGATACATTATGTAAGATTTAAATAAAGAACTAGCCATTCTTGCTATAATAGTTTGAAAGTAGATGATGTAAAATGAATAATTTGAAAATTCGATTCAAATTACTCTATTGCAAGCGAAGATATTAGCCTTTGAAGGTTTGACAGACGTGTGCAATAATTTCAACCACCGTACTGGTTGATCGAAGCTAAGTCTCCGTCCTCCATATTTGGTTAAATCAAAGTATTGCTGAACCATTCTAATCTATTTAATATTGGAGAAATCTGATGCCATCGAGAGTTGATTAAGGCCTGGATCAGTTAATTAATGTCTAATTAATACTTTAGAAAAACATTTCAGGCCTAAAGAAAGACCTGCAATAGGCAGATTTAGCTCTTGTATAATGTATCTTTAAGTGTGAGAATGCTTTGTGGGCCAAGATTTGTCATGTCGTGGAGGTGCATTGTATCAGAATTGTTTATTCCTTAGTTTTGGGGGATAAATTGACCTGCAATAGGCAGATTTAGCTCTTGTATAATGTATCTTTAAGTGTGAGAATGCTTTGTGGGCCAAGATTTGTCATGTCGTGGAGGTGCATTGTATCAGAATTGTTTATTCCTTAGTTTTGGGGGATAAATTGAAATCTCGTATTTATAAAGCAGATGGCCCAGACATTAGATAGGTCAATAGTTAAAGTAGACAGAGATAAGAGCCACATACATGTATATCTTTACGAGAAATTTAAACCACATGTTAGCCAGTGTTCACCATCTGTCCAACTGCCCACCATCGCAAACTCAACCAATGATTTAACAACAACAAATATTAAATATGTCTCCACGAATTTACAGAATATAACACTGTAGTCCAGGTATCATTTAATCTTGTGTGTTTAACACTAATTTCTTTCACATTCATTCAATTCTTAAAAATCGTTTAAAATCACCCAAGATCATCTAATTTGTACTTAGTATAAAGCTGACCATGCAATTTTGATAATGAGTGTCCAATTTACAACTGTTTTATTTCTGTATCACTGTTAAAAAATAACCAACCCAAAAATTCACTGAATAATTATATACAGAACATAACACTGTTAAAATTGAGTTTCTGGTTTTTTTTGCTTGGGAAGCCACAATGGTTCAGTCAGTAATACCTGGAGTCAAGTGGCCTGGTTTCGAATCCAAATTTGTACGTGACAAGGAGTAGGGTCGCGTGTCCAGCCTTGTGGGTTTTCTCCGGGTCCTCCGGTTTCCTCCCACTGCTAAAGACCCCTATGCGCAAGCAAATAATTGAAGAAATATTGAACCATATTACATTTATGTTAGGCCTGAAATGGCCTAGTTTGTGTCAAGTGGATGTTAAACCCTCTCTCTCTCTCTCTCTCTCTCTCTCTCTCTCTATGTAACCTGGAGATCTCAGATTCTCTTTCGGTGTTGGGGGGGTTGGATGGCTGAATGGTTAGCGTGCGCGCGCTGTATCACAAAGTCTGTCATTGAGTCGACTGGCGTGGTTTCGAATCCCTGGTTGTACGTGGCAAGGAGTAGGGTCGCCTGTCCAACCTCGTGGGTTTTCTCCGGGTCCTCCGGTTTCCTCCCACTGCTAAAGACCCCTACGCGCAAGCGAATTATGGAAATAAAATTAAACCATATGTTAGTCCCGAAATGACCTAGTTTGTGTCGAGTGGACGTTAAACCCCATTTCTCTCTCTCTCTTTCGGTGTTGGCGAGAAAGTTGATATTTTCAGGTGTGGTTTTTCCACTCGTTAGTGGTGCAGGATGGGGGGCCTCTAGTGAGGTAGATGTTAAAGAACTCATATGACAGTTGGAATTCAGAATTGAATTTCTGCAATGTTTTGGTGAAAGAAATAATTTAGAAACCAGATGCTCTGGAACTGACAACAAATTAAACTGCTATTTGCAATAGAAAAACTGTAGTAAACAAATCCCCTAATTAAAGATGCACTTGATACCCTTGACAATTCTACGTCCTGAACAAACAACTTTAATAATTCCTTTTGCATAGTACTATTATTAGTAGCAATGAAATTCATAATTCAAGCTCTTTTTTTATATATATACATCAAGGCTGTGTTTTTAATGAGATATCGTTGTATCATAAGGTCTGTCATTGAGTCAACTGGTGTGGTTTCGAATCCCCTGT